TCAGTCTAGAAGGAAGTATAAACGAGCGATTCTTCGGAACAGCCTTGTCCACACGAAATTTCAGGTTCTTACGGCAGCGAATTTGAAGATGGCTTCTGGATTGTAGCGTCGTTTAATCTAGTGTAAATTAGCCCTGATGATGGAGGCAGGAAGCACTTCTGATACGTCGGCAAATTTTTATCACACTACTCGGCGCTATAACCCAGAAGATAGCCATCTTCGGACTCACCGCCTTGATAACCTCAAATTCTGCTTAGCCGGAGAATTTCTTTACCATCTGAGCGACTTTTTATTAAGGACTCTCATTCGTGGAGTTATAATAGCCGTCACCAAATTGCACGTTGAAAGGCCACGAAAGGATTTCATTCTTCCGGTCTGAAGTCATCATTGTAGCGTTGCTGCGATTTCTGAGCTGTCCTCACTCGTCTATATTTGCTGTTCGAGTTGCAACGTTGTTCGATTTTGCTGTGACCTTGAAGCACGCAACTTAGTGACGACTACTGTCGTTTGTTAATTTAAAAATATTACATATTTCTGCTTGCATCAGTAAACTCAGGAAAAAAAAGAGAATTTGATCTGATTCGCCCTAACAATGTTAAATTGTAAAGAATTATTGAAGGATGAGATACGACTATTCCCCTCAAATATTCAGTGAGGAAAGGACAGTGTGAACTGGGCAGGGAATGTAGAGGGGACGTAATGAACAAGGCGCTAGAGCGCTGTAAATGCATTGTCCCCACACAACCCCTTCTTCCGCTCACTTGCTCTCTGTGTCTCGACTGGCTGACTAATTATCGGAAAACACTCGTCTGAATTTTCTTACTATGAGAGAGCGAAAAAAAACCTTCATTGGATGCTGGAATGGAGGAACAAAAAAAAAGGAGTACGGAAGGATAAAAATAAAGTAGAAGCTTTTGTTCGTAATGTAACGACTACGACAACGGTAACAGCGGTAGACACTGTGTTGCCCCATTACGAGAAGTGGTTTCAACAGTAATACCTTTCCTGGATCTTAATCACGCCCGAGGCTTCTGTTACTCTCTGCTGTAATGCTATTTGGAAATCACGGTCACTCTTCTTCGCCATGTCAGAACCAGGATCCACTATCCGTTTTATAGGGATGAGTCATTTTATTCTCGTTAAGTTTTCATTTCGGGCTCTTATTCTCTGGTAGTTTCTTCACTTCACTTCACGTAGTTGTCCGAGAGTGGGAACTCAGAACACTTGGTAGGAGATTTGGGTTCAGAAAATGCCACACGAGAAATGGGTTATAACTGAACTAGAGCTGAGGGTTTCTTTCTTCTGGGTTGTTGCGCTGTGTAGTCTGGTC